CCCCAAAACCCCAAAACCCCAAAACCCCAAAACCCCTTCTTTATTAAATTTATTCTGCATATAATAAAATGGGCACTTGGAGTATTCCTAAGGGTAAAAGAGGTATTTTATTGCATAAATACCGATTTTAGGCAATCTGGCTAATATGAATAAAGTTCCTGGACCTGGGAATTATAGCCCCAACAAGGATTATAGTAAGAAAGGTCCAATTTGGAAAATGAAACTGGATAAAAATGAAACTCTTAGAGAGAGACAGATCTCACCAGGCCCAGGACAATACAATTGTGCTGTTTCCCAGACGAGAAAATAATGTCCCCAGGTATGGTTTTGGAAAGGAAGTCAAAGGAGCACTAAAGAAATTGGTTGAATCTCCAGGCCCAGGAAAGTATGAATCGTCCATTTATAAGGCCAAAATAGCTTATACAATGGGAATAAAGAGTAATTCCAGAGAAAGAGTTGTTACTTCAAATAATTTTACAACAGTTGAGCCTCTTCTTCCTAAGAAAAATATTGGAGGCAAGTTTTCAAAGGCTAAAAGAAACGATACTAGTAGGAAAGACGGGGAAAGTCCTGGACCAGGAGCATACTCAACTGATTTAACAATTTCTGAGAACAGGAAAGGTAAGAATAGAGGGTTTGGAATGGCTAAAAGGGGTGAAAAAGCTCTAAAGAGAGAAGGTAGCCCTGGTCCAGGCAACTACAATATTCCTTCTTTTGTTGACAAATCCAAATATGGTGTCACTTTGAAAGCAAAATTGATAGATAACGAGTCGAAAAAGAAAGCACTTTTGCCAGGTCCTGGCTCTTATCAAACTGAAAATTTGAGGTATACTCATAAGAAGAACCCTTCATATATCATCGGGTCAAGTAAGCTAAACAAGAACCACTCAAAATCAAGTTTGTGTATCAGTGCTACTCTTCCAGGCCCTGGTACATATAAGCCGCAAGATCAGATTATTAAAAAGTCAGCTTCAAAATGGAAAATAAGTAATGCTGGCAGAAATGTGATGGATCTGGTTAAATACAATAGTCCTGGGCCAGGCTCTTATAACATCGAAGAGAAGAGCAACAAAAATGGCATTAAGTTTCCAAAATCTCGTAGAAAAGATGGTCTGAAAGCTTTTGAGCCTGGGCCAGGTTCATATTGTCCTACTGGAGCCTTTTTGAAGTCAAATCCTTCTTTCACAATGCAGAGTCGGGATCAGAACCTTCAAAGGAGTATTGAGAAGTATCAAGAGCTTGTGCCTGGACCTGGTGCTTACTCAACTTTCATAGGAAGGTAAGAAATTCAGCTCTTATTCCCATGGAATTTATGACTAATGAACTATAGTGGGAAGAAGAATCAAAATTCGATCAGTTTTTCTAAATCTTCCAGGAATTCAATAAATTCTAGTAAAATTATGAGCACTCCAGGACCAGGGACTTATAATATACCTTCTACAATAGAGTAGCTGAAGTACCTATATATGAAAGATTGGAGAAATAATCAACTAAGGAAGAATATCGACTGATAATTATCAATAAAAATTTGATATAAATTCTCTAACTTAATGTATCTTTGAGGTCTGAAATGTTGCCTCTAACATAGCCTGTTAGCTGGAGAATAGACATGTTAGCCTTCCCTACAAGCATGCTCTTTCGAGGCAACGAAGAAGGCACCTAGAAAACAAATTATTTATCAACATTTGAAGTATAAAAAGGGGTTTTGGGGTTTTGGGGTTTTGGGGTTTTGGGGTTTTGGGGGTT